CAATTCAAGAGGATCAAGAGCGATTTCGGACGAGTGGGCTTTCTCGGAATGCGGATCGGAGGATCAGAATTCTTCCTTCGTCGAGCGAAGGGATGCTCCCACCAGAATAGCCTCATCGAAGATGCGGAGGAGGGATGAGTTGAAGCCACCAGCTGAAACGTGGGCTTGGCAGTAGTCGCGTCAACATGACTTTCAAATCACAGGACCTTGATTCACAAAGTCACATCTTTGCCGAGCACGTGCCATGCCTACTCGGATGCTTGATTCTCCGCCCTGGTTTCACAAACCCTGAAATTTTCTGGAGCTAGCTCTCGATTCGATAAGCGGTCGCGTTCTACTCGGTGAACCTGAATATTATTCTCGTAGATATCACCACATTGCCATGTGTGCTCTTCCTGCAGAGTTCCACCCGGACGGATCCTGGCACACGCCGCACACGCATACCCGATTCCCGATCGCCCGCATAGTAGGAGATAAGGTTCGGTGAATATTATCGATATATGATATTTTCAGGCGACCTGAACCTTACTCATAGGAGGCTCTGAACTATCTTCGGTTGGGCTGCGCAAAGCAGCCTGACCCAATGATAGCTGAGAGTCTCTGATTAGCAAGGCTTAAAGCCGAACAGCACCCTGGCTGACGAGCGACAGGGATTCGGGCGATTGGAAAGCGGGCGGGAAAAGAGTGAAATATACTTCCAGAGGTCAAGTTTCGAGGATTTGGGGACTCGTCGGAAGCCTCCAATGCAATTCCGGGAGGAAGGGGAAAACCATATTGGTGTTTCCGGCAGAGCCGGACTCTTTCTTCTATCCGTTTGAGATGATCTTCTGATATTTTTCAACCGGGTTTATTCTTCGCATCCACAGAAGATCTTCGTGCACAGTGTTTCCGGGGAATGACGCAGGCGATAGGGATCTGATTACGCAAGGAGGAGCGAACCCGTTCGTTCGTTTCCTCTCCTTAACTTTTTCGTCACTGTCTGAGAAAGATCCGCTGCTTTTGCGAAGAAAAAACGGAAATCGCCCGGTTCGGGCATAGAATTCGGTCATTTCCGGAAGCTGCTACATATGCATGGATTTCCTAAGCGAGGCCCTGTCGTATAAATGAGATGAGTATCTAGGCCGAAGGAATGAGACTTTCTCGCGCACGGCTGAGACGGGAATGCGTAATCTCCTGTTTGGAATCGCCCCTCCTGTGGCGTTGAAGATCAATGAAGAGGGAGGAAGGGAGGCAGAGCTCAGACTAATTCGCGTTTTACTGCTTCCGCCAGAAGCGAGATATGGAGATTGGTTTCTGATGAATAAATGCTCTGGAATCGCTCATTCGACAGACTGAGGCCATCCAACGGCGCGACGCCTAAGAAACAGGCCAATGCAGCGCAATCAACTCTCGTCTGAGCTTCGAGGGAGTTCCGGGAGTCCCCCACACAGAAAGGTTCCGAGAAACACGGGAGCCTGACATGCGTATCTATGTTTCTCGAGCGTGACTTATAGTCGGGTTGGGGAAGAAATGGATTCGGCGAGTACGACTACCTTGGATGGGACAGAGGTAATCCGTCAAGGGGATCACAAGGTTTGGCAGGGTGCAGCACGACCGCTCCGTCGAGATTTCATAGGCGATCTTTCAGAGCCGCATCTGTCCCGCCAACGATGATAGCTTTCAGAGAATGACCGTTCGGACGTTTCTCGTCTTCGGGCTCCGTTCGGCCGACCCTAGCGAACATGAGCTTGTCCAAGTTGACAACGGGTGCTGCGACGAGACAATGCAGCATGAGGGCGAAGAAGAACGAGATCACGATGTCCGACAAGGCGTGTTTCACCTGAAAGCCACTGACCGTGATTCATCTTCGTGTTGAAGCTGTGATTCGAATCGCGACGTCTTGAGCAATTCCCATTACACGTCTCCCGATCGAAACGGGTGTTTCCTCAGCCACCCATGAGAGAACACCTTACCAAGCAGGCGCGATGGAGTTCATTAATCGACACCAGAAAATTCTTGGAAACTTCGCTGCTCAGAGATTAAATGATCGACTGAGTTACTGACGTCACGTATACCCCTTGTCGAACTTACCAGAAGATAATGTTGGGCTTCTACCAGGCTTCGCTGCTGCACGGCTCTCGTGGCGACAACCAAGATGTGGACCAGATAAAAACTCAGAGAGATCCGAGATAAAGGCAGCAGAACTGGCTGACTTAAAATCTTGTTGACGATTCCTGCAGTAAGTTGTAAGCGATGTTTAGCGCTTATTCCTCCGAGCGGCTCAGAGACGGGCGAAATGTTTTCGAGCTCAATGGATCGTGACGAGAAGAGCTATGGATTGCCGTGTCGAGAGAACTCAGCTCCGATGGATGTTTATGAAAGACTCTTACTCTAATCATTAAAGAACTCCCCCAGAAATGTATAATATTTCTCTCGCCTCATCCCGAAGCACCTCTGCAGTGATCGAATGTCGTCATCGAGAACAACTTACCGCCGTGATCAGTAGCACAAGCGAATATGACCCATCCGACGCCTAGGGACCAGAACCCTCGGCTGAAAGCATTGTAGAGAGCGGCCCACACTGTGAAAGCTTCTCCCCCCGTTTGCCAGTAGAAGGGAACTTGAAAAAGAATACATTTCTTCTTTAATTCAAAACCGAATAAATTAGCAATATGTATCTTGAGGTATTGTGCCACCTCGTTCCCGGCGGGCTTGAATACCAGGTACAAAACTTCTGATCTTCATTTCTGTGGCCTAACCGTAGAAGTTCAGGAGACAGACGACTGTCACCGCGACCCACAGCAGGCTCATCCTCCGCGTTGATAGACCTGACGAATCATCTGAAGTAGATCCTTACTCGATGAAATCCACACCCTTTAGGATCGGGATTGTATCGGAGCTTTCAATTCGTGGGCGATAGACTTACCTGATCTATGCTTCTCGATTAGGTAACCAAAGAAAATTCCCACAATGGAGCTTATCAGATGAGAAATCGGATTGAAGTAGATCTTGAGCACGAAATCTGGAAGCTGTATGAATCATGACTCAGCTTGCGGCGATCATGCACATGATATCGCATTCCGGGCGAGGGAAAGTACCTCATGATTCTGGCAGACTCACTTTCTTGAGGAATAGTGGTAGAGGCAGCATGAATGGTGGGAGCTCTGAGAAGAAAGTTATCGCGAACACGGAAACAATTGAGAGTATAGCCTGAAGGAGATGCGAGAAAACAACGATCAGTCTCACGCGATGAGCTCCTGGAGAGTTAGGTTTGATGCTTCCTCGGATGCGTCCTTCAGTCTTGCACCGGAAAATAGGCTAGCGGAATTCGTTCAGCGCGAGATAATATCGGGCTCGTCGTTGAGATGCTCTCTCGGGATGGATTTTGCAAAGAACTTCTTCATCGTTCCCGATTACTCATCCCTTCCGAAACGGAAGAGGCCACAAGGACTCTCGAGCCGAATGGAAGCGCTCCCTGGGTGACGGAATCCGGCCCGCTCCGAATGACCAGCGATTTTGGCCGTTCCTCGAGCATCTTATCGCTGTCATGTGACATCCGGACCGTGAGACTCTGGGACGGATGTTGGGAAGGGGATTCCGGAATAAAATCGCGCTCATGTTGGAACCTCGAAATATCAAGACTCCGACTAACATCTCCCGCTGAATCGATAGGAATTTCCCTAACTCAGCCCGCTATTTTCGAGAATGTGCTCAAGATACGGGGAACAGGGTACTCTCGAGGTATTTTACCGAAGGATCGTGAATCACCGTTTTCTTGTGGCCCACATGAAGACCGCTCCTTCGGCCCCGTTCGCGCGCTGCTCCTGATTGCCCGCAAGAGCTCGCCGAATTTCTTCCCGACAATGTATAAAGACTTACAGACGCGAATGTCCGATGGAGTAGTAAGCCGAAGTTCGCGCAGAGCTCATCATCGGACAGATCCGGGGCGTAGTGCCGGCGAGACTCATGGGTCGATTGATGACCCCGCGGCTCCGACGTAGACATCTCACCATACGAGCGTCGGAGGGCTGCCTCGAGCTCCCCGTAGATATGGATTCAGATGATTCTCAAGAGCTCCCGCATATCAAGTTTTTAGTCTTATTCGAAGAACGCCGTCTGCCGTCTGGGAACCGAGCTCCTTATACTGATAAAGCAACTTTTTTGACGCACCAGTGAACACAGCGCGATCAAGCCGATCCATCGGAATTTTGGTTTCATCAGAAGGATCAGGGGAATTAGCAGAATAACGAGCAACTGAAAGTCGACGCCGATATACCTGCAAGCGGGGGCGGTTTTTCAGAAGCATCCCAAGCATGATCTCCAGAACACAGAAATCGACTCCATCTGAGGATTTTCTCCTCGGATGATCTCAGAAAGGGGAGCTCTTAATTACCACAGGTGGAGCAAACATTGCTCAGGCATCTGATAGAAGTTGCCGACCATCGCAGGAATTGTCCACCAGTGCTCGACACATCCGTTCACCAAGTGACTCATTACAAGATCTTTCGTGGGACCTGAGCAAGAATAGACATCAGTCGGAGCCGGATTGAGCTTCTTCGTCCGAAGATGCGGATTTACATGGGGGAACCTTTTCTTGATAGCCACATCCCAGTTGCTGAAATGCATGCTGTCGAATATACTGACCGGAGACCATCGCGGGCCACAGAAAGAAGAACGCGACCACGGCCATGCTCGGGACGACCAAGCGTATCCATCGGCGGAAAAGGGCCACGACAATAAGAGTTCTCATTGTCGATGGCTGCAGAGAAAATCAATTTTGGAAACATTTTATGGTCCCCGCGAAATGTTCATGTCTGGCTGAGCGGAATATCGTGAGATAATAAACCTTTCTCTTCTCGGATTCCAGTTTGAGAGCTCTATAAACGAGCAGCCCGGTAACGCAGAAGAACGTGTCGACAATATAGAACCCCATGTACACAGGCACGAAAGAGATATTGTGCCGGAACCACCTCAAGATCTGCATCGGGTAATCTGAAAGAAATAGGTCCCATCATCTATCTCCCAGCCAATTGTCTCGACCTCCCTAATGCTGAATCCCTCCCTCTTCATCGGAATCCGAACAATCGAGCCGAGAACGCGTGACTCGTGGACCGAGGAGTCGCGCGCCATCAACATACATGAAGAGATGCCTGACATGATCGATGCAAGACATGTAAGATACTCACGAAGGGTGAAGGGGTCGACCGTCATGTATATGTGCCCCCAGAGGACGTAGAGGCAACTGACGGCTCGGATCCCATGAATGCAAGACAAGTAACTTGTTTGGGGGCGAGTGCTGATCTCGAACACCGATGACCAGTTACGTTTCAAGGAGAAGCATTCCAATATTTCATAGAGCCCTGGAAATGTGGTCGGGGGTGAAGAGCGGAGCTCCTATCTACAAGGGCCCTCTGATGGGCTGAGTAATTCTGAACTCACCACTGCGACTAGCCTGAGACTTTTCCTTGGACACGCTCGTGATGAATGCAGCCGAGCTGCTTAAAATCACAAGGCTTGCTAGGAGCACTCTGTAAGGGCGCATCACTTATCTTTAGGGTTCGACGCGCCATTGAGAGTAGTCTCAATGTGGGCAACGATTTCCCTCGTCTCGGTCATTCTAGGTCTGATCGGGCTCATTCTCGAGACATTTCTGAGCGTACTCACATGACGAAAATTTGGAACGCGGTCAGGGACGGATCTTCTACCTTCGATCTGCATGCCGGTACCCATGCTTGGATTCCGTACTTACCCCCAACTGCAAAAGCGTCGAACGAATCGAGTTGCTCAAGTCTGGACCGTATCACATGAGTGGGAGAACATATCGCCGGGAGTTGCGCCGCTGACTATCTTGATCAAACAAATTGTCGCGAGGAAAAATAAGAATCCTTGTTGTAGGCGCATCGATCCTGCCTACTGCCCCCGGATTATTCGTTCCCAGTTCTTTGAATCCTCACATCAGCAGTCTCCGCATCCAGGGGATTCGAGAGGTGTCCCTGAATGAGAGCTCATTCCTGTGCCCTCCGAAACCACCTCCCGTCCGAGAACATGGATTCCTACCACCAGTATAAGTTTTCTGCGAGGCATCGAGAAGCCGCCCCCAGAAACTTGACACCCCTCCCCTATCTCCGAATCCGCCCCCCTCCTCGGTGAGCAAGGATCCCTGTCCAGGCCCCATACCATCCGTCGAAGCGCAGAATCTGTTCGTAATCATCGCGTACTTACGACCAGTGACGATGTTCACGATGTCGTCCCCGGAGCATGTCGAAGGCAAGCACACTCCTATCCTGCCCCGTTGCAGCACGCGCATGTAGTCGAAGTAGAGATTGGCATCTCCGTGAACATAATCCTAAAACGGAATCGGCTAGTCAATGGCCCGCCCTTCCGCGTGGGAACCACCGGTTCCCTGTCGCATGCTATGCCGAATCGGTCCGAGAGGGTTTTTCTATGATTGTACGATCTTTTCCGAAGAGCTCCACATGGAGCCTAGAATGTCCAGGGCGCTTTTCATGGACCACGGAGGATCTAATGCAGGGGTGTCGAATCCGTGCCGTTCGGGCCACGAGTGGCCCGCGAGGTCTCTTTTTGTGGCCCGCCACTATTTCCCCACATACTCGGAGCCGACCATTTCGGAAGATCGCGTGGAATGAATCCCTCCGTAGGACCGAACAGACGGGTTCTCCCTCGATTCCCGGAGGGTGGTAGAGCATGCTTCCATGGACGGAAGGCATATATTCTCCTCTTAACCGAAAGGTAATTTTTTCTATGTGGCCCGCGGGCATCTGCGACGCTCGAATGCGGCCCGCCGAAAATTTAAGGCTGACACCCCTGATCTAATGGGTCGGGGACCGCAATGCGCTGATGTCTCATGGCGAGGGTTACCAGTGCCTGGAGGGTCCGCAGGAGTCAGGGGCTCAGGAATGTCCGGGAAGTTCTAATATACAAGGTCCCGAACATCTTCCGCTCGAGTGGTTGAAGGCTTACCGAAATTTCCTTGTAGTTGTACATTCCCTGAATCAGGAGTCTTTGCAGATATTCATTCTCGACCAATATGAAGAGCGTACAGTACCGACCGGTGAATAACACGTTTTCTGGAAGGGGTTTCCGAAGCTCTCAAACAAAGGAGCTAGTCATGCGAGCGCCGTCGCCGCGCCGCCTTGGTTCATCGGATTCGAGTGAGACCACAAAATGTCGAGCGGCGTCATTGCAGTTCCACAGTTCAGCCCCTCATCCGTGTTTCGGGGGCTCCTCCGCAATCGTCGGCGCCAACGATGTCCTCTGACAGAAGACCCAACGATTGCAGTTTCTCACCTTCACCATCAGTCGCTTTCGCATCCAGACAGGCGTCGTACATCCCGAGGTCGGTCGCGGAACCCTCGAGCATCGGACCAAGTCCTCCTGATGATCGCACAACTATTGGAAGGATGGGGAAAAAGCCCGGGAGTGATGCTGATCAAAACCATCCTTGCAAGTCGAGGTCTGGGCTCGGCTCTCACAGAGCTCGAAAGCGTATCTCTCCGGTTGGGAATGCTGCCGATGGGTGCCGTCGTCACGGGTCTTATTACAGAGGATTCGGGGATACAAACTCACATGAATAAGCCCAGAAATCAAATCGCTGCATGCCTCGGAGAAGTTGAATAATTGAGCCCAGGCATTTCGAGTCGACTTTATCATTTTCGAGGATACCTTCGAAAATCGGCTGGAGCTCCCTTGTCAGCCTGCGAAGAACAGAATATCTGAGGTTTCGCTATATCCACCAGAGAATACTCCCGTCCTCCGGCCATAACAGTCTTTGATGCTCGTGCTTCCCCACCTCTTCATTACTCCGTTGACAAGGGGCTCGAGACTCTCCGTCGTATTCGAATCGCTTTTCGGGAGGCTCTGCACACCCCCATCTGGAAACGCGAACTTCAGAAGCAAAGCGGGCTCACTCGATTGGCGTATTCCTGACCGCGTCTGGTTCAATAGCTCGTATCGATTGCACTCGGGCATTTTCACCATTTCTAGCTCACGATCAACTCACTTTCGACAGACGCCGAAGCGCTCACCACGATCTCTGCCACGATCATGAGTGCGAATACTGGTCTCCCCATACTGATGGAGGATTCTCGGTGATCTCGCCGAAATTATGACTCCCTTGGGACCTTCCGAATGGTCGGAAACATGCAGGCTGTACACTTCACGAGGATTTTCGCTCGCTAGCAACGGAATGCCTCTGAGGGAAACTACGAGAGAAGCGTCAGGGACTCTGGACGATTCCACTGATAGAGAGTGACTCTTTCAGGATGAGATGGAAAGACCAAATAATTACGTGTGGTCCGCAATCGCCCTGGGCCCGTTTGTCCAGAAAAACACCCGAGCGTCGACCACTGGAAATGGATGTATCTCTTTTCAGCTCCCGGACTGGGGAACGGAGCTAGTCAAATCGGGAAATCAGAATATGACGAGAAAACTGAGAGAAAATGAAGATCGATTGGAGTATATTCCCTCGTTCATCGCTTCCTGGAAGCGATCAATCGAACGGCAGCCAGAAAATGGAATGCCCCCTTGATTCTAGCTATTGTTTTGCTGAGATTTTTAGCGCTCCATGCCCTGCGCACGATCTCTCAATCAGCAACGTAACTTGCTGTGAGCATCATAGCAATGGTCATCGGCCGTTATGACGTGAAGTTCTCGAGTGCTCAGAGTAGATCCGATCATGAGCGTAGAATTGCTTGCAATAAAACTCGACTGCGACATTCTTCCGAATTACTCTGCTTGCCACTTATCGAACTTCGGAAGCTCGTTGCATCATCCAGGAATCACTCAATTTCCCCTAATGAACCCACCTTTGGGAGATACCTCGCATTGTTCAAATGTCCCATATATGTATATTGTATATCTCGACTCGGAACGAGTGAATGGACTTGACCGGAGAATCGAGGATAGCATTCGAGCTCTCTCTCGTCGCGGAAAATGCGGAACCTTGTGCGAGATCTCCGAGCCTGGGTCCTCGAGAGTCGGTGCTGTGCTCCCCAGAGTTGTCATGACTCATGAGATTCTCCGCAAATATGAATTTAAGAAGTCGCTCTACGGAGATCAGTCCTGTTCTTCTTTTTTGCCCCAAGATCAGAAGAATAACGCCGCTGCATTCGAGTGGAAGAATGCGCTTCGTATCCGCGCTCAAGAAAAACTCGGGGACATCTGATTCGATCTCCCGCTCTGCACGGTAGACGATTCTCAGAGCGGCAGCACTCGACATCTCGAAAATTTTTACACGAAAATCGTGCCGGTGGTCGTTGTTGGCTGCGGTTCAATGTTTCACGGGGCAGGCTATCTGATTTCATTCCATCATCCTCCACTAGGAGACGCTGGGAAGATTGGAACTGCATGAAGACATTCGGATCGGAACGAAGGAGAGACAAATGTAAGGAAAGTCTCATTCTATTGCTATAAAAAAGTGCTCCTGATAGCCTCCTACAGCGAGTCATGTATGACAGGTACAATCCAGGATGCATGATTCGGGATCATTTCCTCGAAATTGGTCGGAATCTGACCGATGAACAAGGTTATCGTCGTGCTCTAGTTCGTAGGCATCGGTAATCCAGCATGAATTTTCTGTGAGCGGAATGTTCATCGTAATCTTCGACGAGATCAGTCAAATCAGAGGATTAAGTCTTCTTGCGCTTCCTGCTGTCACTTCTCTCGAGAAGATTGAAGTCCAATGCTCGCTTCAGTCCGTCGAACAGCGGGCAACACAGAGCAGATGATGAGAGAATAATTGATCTTGGAGAGCTTCAAGTGAGTAGATGTACACCAAGACTCTCTCCTTGAGAACCGCTTCCGTGGCTCGAAGAGAGCACGGCTCCCAGCTACGGAGATATTCGCCCGTCATTGGTATTTTTTATCCCGGTCTGATTTCCTCTCATTAGAAAACAGAGGTCCCAACGGGGTATCACTTGGACGATTGGATTTCACGATATACCGAGGGTATGCCGGCGCGGGATCGTTCTGAGTCTTCGTTCGTGTGTACCGTCCGTATTCCGGAACACGAGGTCAAAGACAAGGATTCCGGATGAGGAGCTCTATCTGCCCGATGGGATCGTTCGTGACTCGAATGCTTTTGGTACGTCGCCGAGCGTCCTCGGTTTTTCAGGAGGCTTTGACTCGAACAGTTTTAGACCATCCACCAGGTCCCGAAACTGGCAGGAGACCGACGAAGAGCTCTTCGAGGTCCGGGAGCCCCACGAATTTCATTTATGATCATGAAAAGGATGTCAGATGTCACTACAAATATATTATCCCTGCCTCGCTCTCGCGGGTCACGCCAATTTGCAATTTCTTACTGCGGGGTGTCGGGTCGGGATTGTGACTGGGGAATCGGACAAATAACATCAGAGCCCCGGAATGAAGCTGGAAAAAAATCTGCGCTCGCTCGCTGAAGAGCACGGAGTGTGAGGGGGTAGGGGACCGCGTGAATTTGTTCGGCTGATCTTCCTGCCGGAGGAGAGGGCTGTCTACTGCCTCGCCTTTCTCCTACACACGAGCAATATCGGACGCGTATCTACCCAGCCAAGAATCGAGTATTTTTCGGTCGGGGGTAGACCACCACTTGTGTAGAATTCTGCCTCGCGAAATTCTGCGGGGGAGGTTGACAGTCGTTCGAATAGAATTGTCTGCCCTCGAGACTCTCCGGTCTGGGTATGAAGGGCTCCGCACCGCTAGACGTTCGGTGAGTACATACTCGGACCCTCGACATGATGAGCGAGAAATGAATAGAAAACCTAACCGCGAACGGATGGGAAGGAAGCCTATAGCGTGAATTTCTACCCTTGCAAAACTAGTTCTGAGCGTCGACTATATTAGAGAGGGAGCGAGGTAGAGGAAATCTGACGTGCCTCGCCGTGTATTGTCAGACGTTCGATCTGGAAGATCTGATCAGTGATTAAACGATTGGGGCCGAAATTCGGGATCGAGCTTAAGCAATGAGGGGAACTGACGAGAGCCTTGAGGATGCCTGGTGTTCGTTTCTCGAGCCTTGACCTCCTTCAGAACGTGTCGAAACTGTTCATGACGAAAATCAGAATGAGGGGCAGCGACTTTTTGTCTCGTGGATCTTCGACGACAGACTCACGAAAAATGATAATTATAAGTTTATTAACAGAAGGTCAGTTTCTGATTCAAAACCATATTAGCTCACGAAAAATGCCACCGCTGAGCGGGGGGATGTGACTGTCTCGGTACATGCGACAGGAGGTTTGAGAGTAGGCTCTTATTTCGCCCTCTTGTGCGGGAATGGCGGAGTATTCGATGGAAGACGTCGCGCGATGTCTCTCGTATCGAACTCCTTAAGCTTGATGACGAACTACCTAGGAGGGGCTGAGGAGAGCCGACCCGAATCAAGCTCCTGGTCGAAGACTGAGAAGAAACTCTCCGTATCCTAATGATTCTCCTTCTTCCCAGACCCCTGCCACGTGGAGCGACGACCCGAGACGAACTCAGAGCTCTGATTTCCAAGCATGGCTCCCTCTCTGAGAGCGAGGTGCGTTGCCAGAATCTCCCTCGCCTCTGATTCGCTCGCAAGTGCAGCCGAATACGTCCCCTCATATTTGAACCGTGGTATCCTCTTCCAGGTCATTGCTCACATCAATCGATTCGTCGCTTCTCCGTGGAATCACAAAGACTTTATCAATTTCTTCAAAAAATCCGGCCAAACGGTTTTTGAAGTGCGAAATGACCGCCTCTTCTTGGCGATTAGCAAGTAAGACCTCGGAAACTGGCCTCATTCTCCTTGGGCACGGAAGACGGATGCCTCTGAAATGACTCTCTCGTCGTGTCTTCGGGAGCGAATTGTCTCTAATTTTCGAATCGGAACTATTAGATTCGGTGATCCATTTTCCAGTTCCACTGACGACAGCTCCGGAGACGAGCGTTTTATGAGAAGAAAATCCGCGACCAAAAAAGCGATCCCTCGCCCCTGCTCTTCCCGAGTTAATGACTCCGGATCCGAGGTTGAAAATCTCGCATCTGGCTTCAATGGGAAGTTGACCACTGAAGCGGTAGGTTCCGCCAGATGATTGTGATCAAGTAGATACCATGCTCCTTCCGATACTCCCTATAAATATTCTGAAATTTTCACTCAGAGCAACGATCGGGATCTTCCTGATGGAGAAGTTTCGGAGCGCTCTTCGGCTCGACCCGTCACGGACAACCCTTCACCGCCGATGTCTTCTGGAACCCAGAAAGTAGAAGCACCTCGTCCTGTAAGTTAGCCTGAATCGTAATCCTGGAGTGACGGCAGAATGGTTTCTCTGCTGAAAATCTTGAGAAGTTCATGCTGGTGACACGAGCAATCTTCGCGAGGGTACCGATCCGAGCTCAAAAGCTTCTTTATTCGTGGAAATGCTTAATGAGTCAGTAGAAGATGAACATTGAATATTCCAAATATTGAATTCAAAGAGAAGGCCCCTGACACTGCCGTGGACGTGGTTCGAGAGGTCCCGGAATTATGCCTCGATTTCGAGTTGGCTGAAGGTCGATTCCGCTTCGGAAGCTGAAAACCTGAAAATAAGTCTTGTTTCCAGCTCAGGGAAGTCTTCCAATGGTCATCTGATGAAGAGCACGGGGTCGTCGGTAAGATGATTAAGTCTTCGGTCGATGATCACGGAGGGGCATCTTCTCTCAGACGTGCGAGGCTCAATCAGCTCTTAAGGTGGCCCAACAAGACAACGGTTGAAGATCCCTCACGGCTTTCCATCGATTTCCTTCCAGGCGTCCCTCGACCATTGGTCGGCAGCGGAGCATCGGCTCAAGCCCCTTTGCGGCCGTTGGAACCGGTGGGTAATCCCAGATTCTGTCCGAGGGTATCAGAAGCTGGAAGAGGAGTCGAATTATGTAGAGAAATTATAGCTTCGATTCTGGAATTTCACGCTCATTCACGATCGATGGTTACTCATCCTTTATTCATCTCTTCCCAGCCGCCAGGATTCGCAGCACGGGCTTCTATGCAGGCGGGGAAACCATTCGAGTCGGACGAGGAGGATCAGCAGGCTCGTGAGTCCCCCTAATAATCATTCTGAGTGCCGATACTGACTGACTGCGGCGAGGAATCGAAAGCACATCTCAATGCTTTACCGATTCCGATAGAGCCTTTGCGGGAGAAGCATAAACATTCATATCCAATCTTGCAGCCCGATTGGCGACCAAAGAAGCTGTCTTCAAGCTGGTTCACAACAGAAAGCGCTACGTTCGATCTTCTGACGTGGAGAAGCTTGTACGTGGTTCAGGGTCGGGGGATCTTCAGTCAAAAAAGCTTCACAGAGAATTTCGAGGTCCCTGGCCGGAGTTCGTTCTTCGCAATGCGATTCTGTCCAGGTCTCCAGGTATCCTAGGCTGTCGTGTCACAAAGCCGATGATTCTCCGAACTCTAACCCTTCGTGCAGGTGACCATGGACCCGGATCCGGCTAACAGACAAATACCGAAGTTGAGTCTGTCGAGTGACGACGAAGATTATTCGGACGAGAAGTCTGAGCCCGACGAGCCTATTCGGAACTCCCGGCCGGACCCTCCTCCACAGCTCCGTGGTAGGCTTCGCAATTAAACAATCCGTTCATGGATGTCATCGCAACCTCATGCTCTCTAAAATATAACATGAGCATTTGATCCACAGCTGCCGAGACAAAGCCTCCCGGTCCTTCACGGGATCCTCAGGAAGTACCAAGACAACGTCGCAATGGTGAGTCTGGAGTGGGTATTCGGTCGATTGAGAAGCTTCAGCTCAGGGATCTTTTTTATTCAAACCATGACTTTATTTGAGTAGATGCGCTGCCCGTTCCGACGGACGCATCTCGTTAGGAGGACGATCCGCCTCACTCAGGGAGAGGCAACACAGCTACTCGGAGGAGCGGGCGCCTATGCTTAGCGAAACTTCTAGCTTAGAAGAATTTATCGAGCCAGCGATAGCCTGAGCCTGTTCTGAGAGGGCGCTTCTTCGAGACCCCGATGTCAAGACATATGATCACGAGCCTCATCATTCACGCGCGATATTGACATTATTTTTCGCTGCGGAACATCGCTGAGATATCGACTTACTGACAACAAACGCCTGCCGAAAAACGCGACAAGGGGCACCGAATCGATTCAATCCTAAGATGTCGATTCTCAAAATGTAGCTGAGAACCAGACTATGCACGTGATGCCCCATATTTTTTTGGTGGAGCAGCTCGCGAAGGGGTGACCCTTTAATTCTCAAGATATATTCAAGATGGTATAGAACCTACAGATGACGAATGAAGGATACATCCTTCGTGGGTTTTGTGATAGTTTGAGATATTACGGATGTCCGGACGACGGCGCTACAAGTCTATCGATATAAGCATTAAGGAGAGGGAGTAACCACTGTGCGTGTTTGGAAGCGAAGCAAACAAACTCATTATTCATCTCTAGCTAAGCCCGTGGCAAAGCCAAAGATTTTCGTGAATACGGGAGAAGAACGGGGCAAGAGCTTCTGGGACACCTTCTTCACCGAAAAAGAAGAAATGGAATACAGAGAGAGCCGAGAGAGGGACTTTGGAAAAATCACTAGAGGTATCTTGAGTAGATTCTGTCGATTCCAATTGTTCGTTTCTCCCAGTTCCCGAGAAGGAAATGATAACCCGTCTCCATCTTTGCAGACATAATGAATCATGGGAGAGTTAAAAGAGATGCCGCCGAGATATACATGAAATATTTCATTTCTATCCAAAATTGGAATATCGATTGCTTGTCGAACAGCCAAGTTGTGGCTGCCGTTTTGTCACTGATCGCAGCGGATGAGGATGGCGAAATGCTTCAGCAACTCCGTGAAGTCGAATACGACCGGCAGGCTGTTTAAGGAGGTCTTGACGCTATAATGTTTCGAAGGTTGCTCAACGACGCTCTACGAATGTCTCGGATATGCACAGTAACGTTCACATGAGTCATGTGTTGAGTTTGTTGTAGGAATCATGTATATATACTCTACTGATGGAATTAAACGAATGGATATACACACGAATGATGGATCCCTCTTTTCTTGCCGAGGAACACCGGTTCCAAACAACAGAGCCCGATACCGTAGATTCCCGGTTAAGCTGAATTCACACTGATGTGCTCACATTCAAGTTTGCTACAAGGCGAGATGCGAACACTAGCCGTTTCAGTCGCACCTCCTAACTCGAAGTAGATGTCCACGGAAGACTGTCCCTCAGAATGATTTTGAGCTTGGAAATTCCGGACTCTCCACAGAATGTCCGAGGGGAAAAATCAATGAAAATGATGTTTCAATTGAAATGATTAGTTTGAGGGGAGACACGGCCGTGGAATCGCGTCCGACAGAAGGCTGCGCGAGATCGGAGTACTCGGATACAGGGCAACGAATCCCGTGTCGATTCGGTACAAGACTCGGTTGCACTTCAAACTAGAAAAGTCACAACGGAGAAGACGGAATGAGCTCACAACCCCATACCCGATCGGCTGTTGTCAAGAGAGGGCTCCGGGCCGTGAAGGTCCGAGTACGGGTCGAGATATAGATCGAATCACAACGTGACCAAGCGTCATTCGGGGATCCGTGTCGGGCTCTCGCGAGGAAGCGTAAATCTGTCAGTGAGAAGGAGTTTATCATATTGCGAAAAGTACTTTATTTTCAATTTTAAAGGCTAAAATTTGAACAATCTAAGTCGCTCCAACAGTTTTTCCTCCCTATCGACGTCCGGTCTCCGGAGACCCGAGTCTGTCCCCATGGACTCATTGGTGGTCATGTAGCTACGGTGAGAGTTTCCTCCGAGTGGAAGCTGTACGACCAATTACGATGATCCTGGGTCCACATGCCAGGATCTCTTCGTACGTGATTACAAACTTTATATTACGATTTGGAAGCGATTCGACTATTCGTGCCGCGAAACTCGCTCTCCTATGGTTCTCATTCAATATCTTTGAGTTCCTGGACTCTTATTCCTCCAGATGGGACCTTCCGACTCTCCCCATAGACTAATCAGACGCCATAACAATATTTAAGCATCTACGCAAACATAACTCCCTTTCCCTCCGCAGCGACATACACGATTCGTTCGAAGTTTCCCACACGATCCGTCTTCTCCTTAATAATTTACTCGATTATTCAACACGACCGGGGAAACCCCCAAACACTAGGATCTCGAGTCAGTCACGGTAACATACCTTCGGAATCGACGCAATAGAATCCTCGGCGTGATCCGAACGCATACAGAGCGTACGGGATGAGTCGACGCTCCGCTTGAAACGACATCTGCCTCGGACCTCTATCCCCGTCGATGCCCTAGAATGCGATTCTTGCTCCGCTTGACGTGACTTCGAGACCCAAATTCACGATTATCCCCTCCGGCTTGAGTTGGCGAAAAGAGAAGCACTCGTATCTAACGTGAGCTGTTGTATTGTTGTACGTGTAATCTGCGCTCATATTAGAGAAATAACTGGTGATCTCTGACCCTAAACATCTCTGACCTCGGGAATTCTCTCTTTCGTTCCGGGTCCCCAAGATTCCCGTTACGTAGAAAATTGAGGATTCGGGGAATGTACCTTGCAGCCCACAAAACAATTCGCGTTCAAGTTCGCGTATGCTCTCACGCCTCGAAATTCCAAGATGGGCAGATTGGGCGGAATCAAGAGACCCTCCGCTCGCGGTTACCACCGAATTGTCACACATCATCACTTGGGAAGACCACGCGTTTGGACTCACGAACAGAGCCCGAGACTTCGCCACCTGTACTGGACAAGATTTCCTACTCTCGGATCGTCGAGTTCTCCATCCACAGAAGAGATTTTCGCTCCATTCAATCGCGTCATTGAGTTCTGCCCCTCCCGCCCTTCCCTATCCCGCGGCAGGGTTCTCCACATTTATTCTGATCGAGCGTTCCGACCCGCTGAAATGAAATACGGAATTTGGATATCCGATGTTCGTGCCCTCCGAACCGATTCCGGAGAGCTGTCGCTCCGTCGGCCCCCGGGAGCACAAATTCGATTCAAGGTGTTGGAGCAAGATGGAATTTTTGAGATGGTCTATCGTCCACGGGTGAGCTCAAAGTTTCCTTGATATTGTTGCCGCCGCTTTTGTTGATGACGCTGTCACGCTGCTGTTGGCTACGACAATGTCACCGCCGCTCCACTTGTTAGACCGCTTCAGGAGTCCGATGGTCACCATTGCTAGACGCTCTTGACGATCGACGCAAGCTGTCTTTGAAAGTAGACATCGTTCGTGAGAGGCGCGCAAATAAACCGTCGTCCAATGCTTTGTTCAGCGTTTCGGGCAGCCACAGACACAGCACGGCCGATATAAGACTCATGGTACCGTAGAGACCCGGCAAGAGTTTCGTGTGGAGTCGAGGCAGCCAGTACCTTCCGAACGGATCGATTGTCGACGCCAGTCGGTACATGAGATCACAAAAACCAATACCTACGTTCCGGAGGGGAGTGGAATAGAGTTCCGCGCTGTAAACCGGATAGATCTGAGTGAAGGCCGCCGAGCTCGCTCGGATCATAATTACGGCGACAAGATCGACGATCCAATCGGCCGAGCCGAAATTCTCGGCGAAGCCCATCAGGAAAAAACCCAGAGCCCCTAAAATGCTCGTGGTGAAAATAATCACTTTGCGTCGCATATAACGGACGCCGAACGCCACGAGTACGATCGCCACGAGCTCTGCGCCGATCGGAATGCAGAACGAAATATGGGGCCCGAGGCCGATATTCAACTCGGTCGACATGAATGTCGACGCGTAGAACAGTATACCGGAAGTGAAACACAGGAACCACATGAGCATTGTATTCCGCTTGGTGTAAGCGCCATTGCTGTCGCGGAAAAGATCGAAAGCGTTCTTGGATTTTCCCTGCTTTAGACGGCCATACTTTGTCCGGATCTTAGGCAGGAGCTGCTCGACGCGATTTTCTGGAATCCGATTGTGTTTGCATATCTTCTGGAGATTCTCTTCAGCTGCGTCAAATCTCCCTTTGGACAGGAGCCAGCGAGGAGATTCGTAGACAATACCGAGGAAGGGTAGCAAAGCAAGTGCTGGCATGCTGATCAAACCTTGCAGGTAACGCCAATCGCCACCGTAGTGCGCTGTCAAGGCCACCATCATCATACCGATATGAAAACTGAATCCATTCAGTAGGGAGAACAGGTATCTGTAATGAGAACGCGAAAAGAGTCATGAGGCCGCTCCGGAACTGCATGGTACGAGCGAGTTAAATTGTGAAGTGTCTGGGTGTTGTTCGCTCTCAGACCTATGATCTCTGCCAAGAAAATATCGGGCCATTCAAGGGCGTTCAGAGACGACGAGGAGCGGAGTCTCTCCTCGGTATGTTCTCGGCTCATCCGAAACATCGAATTTGGAATGACCTATGTATGTCAGGAGGTCGTGGCCGTCTCATGTCCAACATGAGCCTATTGTGAGCCCATATACCTATGGTCGAACCACCCCTGCACCCCTTCCCCTGGCAGGTATCTTCCTGAGCTCTCACATCGTCTCTTCCATGCTCGCTCCACTCGGCCCCGATAAATCCTTGCACTAATCGATTTCTTTTGCTCGGAAGATCGCTCACCGGTATTTGGGGTCGATGGTTTCTAGGTATATGACGGTGGAGGCTTGAATTCCAATTTTGGAGACAGATGAAAGGAACCTTCCGATGTTGAACATGATGAAATTATTCGTGGCAGTCGCCATTACCCCCGACACGGCACAAATCAGCATTCCGGCGAAGACCGCCGGTCGACGTCCGTAATGATCAGAAAAATGACTGAAGACTACATTTCCCACGATGAGACCCGTCATCGAGAGCGATTGCGGGAATGGCTTGAGATAATCATTGTCGCAAACTAGATCCCATTCCTCGAGAATTGTCGATTGGTGGACCGAATGATCGAACTCCCAAGCTTCACACGGCACGATATGATCCTGTCTCGTGAAGGTTTCGTGATCAAAAAAATGCCTGATGCAATGACCGCTCCCGCTCTGAAAGGATCGATTCGACCGTGATCGAGGTACGGGCACCGAAAACCATGTCGGCAAAACGGACCGTATCGTTACACAGGTCCCATACCTATATGGAGCACGAACCTTGAGGGTGTCGTTGTGCGTCAATTTTATCCAATCTTCACGAGTCATGTTCTGCGACACGGCTTGCGAGGTCCTGGCACAATGAAATTCAACGTTTGGAGGCATCATGAAAGCCATCGCGAGTTGTCCGAAAGCATTGAAGAGTGAGTTGATCCCGATCACCGCCCCGATTTCAAGGTGCCAGAGTCCAGCGCGCCCTATCAGATCGGTGATATCTGCTTCTGAGGGCTCCTCGGGATTCTGCAAGAAACGACGCTTCCTTGTCGGATCATCTCTGCTGGTTCCTTGTCTGAGCTCTGTGGGTTTTACCCTATTCAATTCAAGCGGCTTCTGCCAGAGCCTGCGTCTGACCTTTATCCCACAGCCCATCGCATTGATCAAGGGCGGTCTGATGTCGTCGAGCCTTGGATCTTGTGCCATTTCAGGTCCGAATCCGTTCAGTGGGTAGCTAAAGGGGAGGGGGAAATTGACGTTAGGAACAGTCCTAGGGTGGAAGGATTCTCTCGCGGGTGCGATGTACTCGTTTGAAATCCGCTTGATCGCTCGTCGAAGGTATGTACCGGTCGCGATATTCTATTGTGGGAGAAAATCGGTTCTATAGAGGCCCTTCATAAAGAACGTTCGGGGAGTTCTCAGTTTCGCCACTGTATCCAACTCTATTCGACAGCCTCCGCGCCTGGAAAATCACATATTGCAAGAGGGAGCATCAATCAATCAGTCGGTCCATTTACGGCTCGCGAACGCGTCGCTCAAAAGAAACTCGAGCTTGGGCGCAGAGCTCCCAGCACTGTGTGACGAATATTCGTGTAAACCAACCGAGAGGGAGCGACTTCAAATACAACTGAAGCCATAGAGGGCGAGAAACTGCAGGACAGACCAACGCTTCGTGTACCGATAGGAGCGGTCTGCCTGCACATTCAGATTCGCGCGAGCCTCTCTGACTCCCTGCTTAGTTATACGGGTATACTTCATTTTTCTATCCTTTTCCTTCACTACCGCATTCCGATCGTGAGGGTAGGATGCCCTAGAGAGGAATATCACAATTCTTCGAGGCATTGGCGTCAAGGATTGCTGCTCCTCCCAAGAAGCATCTGTCGCGAGCAAACCATGATCATCTCTTCAACTTTTGTTTTAATAATAGTGAATCAGATTACTTGGAAATAAGAATTCCAAGAAAAGCTGGCCCACAAAAAGGGAACCAAGTTCTCCGAGAGACCCCTCCAGCAATGACGCTTGAGTTTTCTCTCTGCAGCTCGACCGTGATCCGCTGCCGAATGAAGGCGATCGCTCTTGTGTTTCCGTCTCTACTCTCAATGCTGCGGCCAGTCTGCTTCAAAAATCTGAGGGCTTCATACTCCGGATCTTCTTTTAGGTATGTCAATACTTCATACATTACTTTGAATATCTTCCGGATCATTGCGTGCTCGTGATGAACCAATGGTTTGTGTGAACGATCACACGGAAAATAGCGATCGAAGCAGGCGGACGGGGTAGCTGGGGTACAAGACGAAAGGCGTCTGATCAGTACAATGGGGGTCAGCCACAAGATTTGCAGGCAGAGGAGTCGTCAATCCATGCCGCACGAATAGCGCTCGGTGCCAGTATATCCATTCCTTCGCTCAAGTCGTTTCAAACGATGTTTCCAACTCACGAATTTCCTGGGTCGGGCATGACTTGTCAGTCAGAGCCATCATACCCATCTGGAAAAAACACCGAAGAGCCACCATATCGTTCGGAACAGCGGCTTCAATCTAAGCAGAAGATTGAATGGGGACGGATTAGTCCAACGTGATTCCCTGGGAATAATAAAACGGCTCTCGATCGCTCGACATCGATCACCCGTTGGAGGATTGATCATTTCGAAGCATTGACAAGCGCCTAATCGGTCGCGGCCGTCCGGCTCGCAGACGGTCTCGGGGGCGTCGTCGGAATCAGTGCTTGACAATTATCTGAGCGCAATGTATCTTGTGACCCGCGTCGTCGGACCTTCGTCTTGCGATTCAGAGAGAAGGCCCCGGAAATTCGACCGCGAAGGCGTCGTGCCTGCGCGGAGCCTCAAGCCACCCCAGAGGACGAGCCTTCCAAGAGAATGCAGCGTTCCGGGTCAAGTTGACCCGCGGACTGGAACTTGAGGAAGGCCCCGAATAACTGCAACCGTTCGCTTCAGATCCGGTGGTGCGTATCGTGGTCTCCCCAATCTCGGTGTCACTCGATTTCCTTGGGCAGGCTCCCCTCTACCTTATCGGGAATATTCGAGCAGCCGAGGTCGCACGCCTCAAAGTCTTCGGAGGCTCCGTAAACGTTTCGCTGTCTATTTCGTCGTTCGGCCTTCCGAGAGCGTCTCGAAACAGCGAAGAGACACATCACGTTCTGAAGCCTCGAAGCTTTATGACTCCACGTTTCAGCCTCTACAGTGCACGTTCCGACCTAGCGGCAACCCCGAGCGGCCGTGCGGCGGCGGTAGGCCTGACACGGGCACGCTCCGCTATTCGTAAGGTGTGTCTCTCAAAGTCAAATAGGTTATACACATAAAGTATATGCAGTCCGAGAATTCCGGGTTGTGATTCTGGAATACGTGAACGTGAGGCAATAATAGGCCCTAGCTCAGAAATAAGGGGGGAAGTCCTCCCGCGTCGCGTTGATACCAATTTCCTAACCGTACAAAAGAGGCAGCTAAGCTCTCTTACTTCTCTGTCGGCGCGGAAAGGCGCGCAGCAGCTCTGCGTGAATGAGCCCAGGGGATGAGCGTGAACTCAGAATTAGGCTCGAGTGAGAGGACCTTCGGAGGCCCACTAAAAAGTTCCGAGCACGTTCCGTGCGCACCCAAGGTCGAAGGCAGGGCTCATTTAAGCTGACAGCTCAATTGAAACATTGAGGGAATGAGAAAAAACGGTGCTAAGCAGGGGAGTCCTTCGCACCTTCAGACGCCTTGGTCTTGCTCCACGAGTGGTGGAAATTCTTGCCCGCTTCGGATCACACCGAGAGACTTCGTTTGCAGAGCGGATGCAGAAGAGTTCAGAGAGACATTGCTCGACATCATTCCGATGCATCAATGCGGAAAAGGCGCCACGCCGTAGACCTTGTCCGCATAGCGTTTCCTCGCCTTCCGTGAACGGGATGTTCTTCCCGAGAGGCACATATGAAACATCCATAAAACACTCCAGCCAGCGCTCGTATGGTGGAGACAAACGATACTCCTGCGAGCAGACACAGATCCTTCCGACCTCAGCTGAGGAATCAGGCATGAAAGATTCAACAGACACAGATCGTGGAGTGCTCGCATCGGCGTGAAAATTACAACATACGAAGCACGGGCACATGCGACCTTTGCACGGACTCGTCTCGCGAGGAATCGACGGCAATAGATCAAGCTTCATATCCCTTCCGGGGCGTCTGCGCCCTCGAATCCGTCTCCATTTGGATAAGAATTCTCCTCAGGAAAACAGCTCTCTCCCACGGAGTCAGAGACTGAATTTGCCCGGCGGCTAAATCGGAACTTCATTGATAACGATTCGTGTGGAAACGACCTAGCTCTCTTCGTCTTATAGTTACTACTCGAGCTAGACTTCTGATTCTCACATGCTTCCCGGTACGGATTGGTCAACAGTCGCTCCGGCCGCATTCTGTTCGCCGAACTCACCTTGAGTATCATCGAACCGGAGTCGATCAGCGATTCCAAGCGCACGTGAAGTCGACCGCGTGCTCAGAATCGCAATTCGGTGGCATCGCGATTATCCGGGCCCTGATGAAGCAGACCAAGACGGGGTCCGAGGTCATATCCGAACCTAACGCATGGCATCAGATCACCGAACTTCACCAAATTATCACTCAGCTTGCTATTTTCGTAGCACACTTCACACAAGTCCGCGAATCCTCCCCGACTCCTTTGCAGGATTCTCTCCCCCGCCGTGCGCTGAGCGAAACAACCGCAGCGATTTTAATCCGGATCTAGATCGAAAACCGGTACTATTCACAAGCACCGTTCTATTTACATGAGAGCAGAGCGTCTGAGTGGGCTATTTTATTGACAAGGAGTCCTGAAATCCAACAGGACGATGTTAAAACATCGGGAAGGTCAGCGGCATCAAGGTTGACAAGTGACAACACCGACCGGGGGGTTTCCAATCAAGTCATCGAATTCATTACAGCGGACGGGAGATTAAACACTGGAGTGTGAAGTCGGGATAAGGAATAGAGCGAGTCCCGCTGCGTTCGGAAAAGAAATCACTGGACGTCCATCCCGAGGCTCAGTTCACCGAACCAAGGACCCCAATAGAGCACTTTGTCTCAATCCTTGATCGCATCCTGTGAAACAGTCACGAAACTCGTGCGAGGAAACCTTCACAGTACTCGACATGTTCAGCCACGCGCCTGGCATACGTGGCAGTGCTCATGAATGAATAACGTGATTGCGTGAATGCATGTTTGTTCGTCCGCGTGTGCGTGTGTTTTTGCAGTTTTGTGTTCGAGTTGCTTTTGAGTGTGTCGAGGTGTTGCGCGCGCGGTTCCGAACCGGAGTAAATACAGGTTGTAGTGCGGATTCTAAGAGGACTACTTACCTGTCCTCTCTCAGCCAGACCTACCCTCCTCCCTGAGCTCCTCGTCGGCCCAACAAATCGCTCCGGGCTCCGGGACGACCTCGAATTGAAATTCGCTGGAATCTCACGTCGGTTGTCGCCAACGCTCACTGTGTCGAGTGCCACATAAGGCACATCGCCCCAGTCGGACAGGAAGTTGTCCTGGACATGAAATGCTCCGCATCCTTGTTGAGCGCTGCGTAGTTCAGCGGCCGAAAATGCGTAGAACCAGCGATCGGGGACATTCATTTAAATTACGATTCTCGCACTGGATCTCGTCGTCAAATAATGCCCCTCACCTCACCGAGAGTTCCACATTATTCATTCTTCTGCGTCTTAGCTCGCGAAGGATGCTCCTGTCTCGATGCAAATATATTACTTCATATTTTTCAGTCCGGAGTTGGACGTCGTCGGGGGGACGTGGGTATCTAGTGAGTCCTGAGATCGAACGAGAACTCCTTCTTATTCATAGCGACTTCCGAGGAAGGAGCATGGGTAGAATTCCCGTAATCAAATCTCATCGGTAGATATTGCTGATAAACAATTGTCGAGAGAGATGCTTGCACGGCCTCGCTCTATTGCATGCGAAGAGACCAGTCCTTATTGGAGGAGAGAAATTTTTGCCTGTAACTTCGGAACTTCTGATTTCAAAATTCGAATCAAATCTCTTTCGAACGATTCCACGGACTGCGTTGAGGCGAGAGCAGGGTTCATGGCCTAGATCAAGGTGAGCCCGCCCCAAAAAGAATTCAAACGCTGAGGACAAGCTCCGCGGACGATTCGATCATTGATCAATCGCAGAGCTCGGTTTTGTTTTGGTGCTATCGCTTCAATGATACGTGC